TAAACTCAGAGTCATTTAATTGCAAAAGTTTAAAATACTCAAGACATTATTAATATATAAATATGTATTGAAATTGATTATGAATATGAACACTTAATCAGAGGTCGATCAATATTCAGTTTTACCGCTGAGATAATGTTTTTAAAGAAAGGTCTGACGGGACGAAACAGAGAAGCCGTAAGAGTTTATGTCGAATTAAATGCTAGATACCAATACCAATAATATTTAGTGTAAATAGTTCCAAAATACATTGGGACTCTTATTTTGAAATGTATATGCATGGCTACTCCCAGGTCAATCAATAATATGAGAGAGATAAAATAAGCACAAATAATTCAGAAATAAAATAAAATATAACTATTAAATGAAAAACTTAAATTAGAAACTAACCGAAAAAGTTTAAGTTGAAACACTAAAATTACTAAAACTGAAAGCTCAAAATATAAAAAGTAAAGCCAAAATAAGTACTATAACAGTATATAAACATTATTGAAATAACACTGATGTCATGTAACCATTAGTGACGTGACGTGTGGCCAACATAAGAGAACCAAACACATGCAAATGCATGTTAAATTATTAACATGTTATCCTAAATTCTCAGGGGATTTTCAAGAAAAAATTTTTAGGTCAAAATGATTCATTGATTGTGAACTGCTCTAAAACCGCAAGTCTGTAGAAGCACAAAAGTGCGCGTTTTGACTTCCAACGCGCAGTGCTCACATTTATCTCATTAAATCATCGCCTTTTGAAGCTTAATAAATCACATTAGGCTTGAATAATGTAGGGCTGGGCGATATAGCTACAAATTTTATCAACGATATAATATTTCATCTGTTTTAACTTTGCATGGCTGTCTATACATCTCTTCTGTGAGACGTGAGTGCAGCAGTCATATTTGTCTGTCTAAAAATGCGCTGAATATGCGTTGTGTGTGAATGGCTTGGTTTCGGTTTTAACCCATTCAAGATCTTCTCTGCATTGAGCTTCTATATTTCTCTAATATTTTGAATGCATAACATGGCAGCGGCACATCTCGTGGGCTAGACTAACAAAACATTCAAATGAAACGTCACTCACATCATTATCACCGCATCTCGCGCGCCACTGATGACGCTCCCTGATGCACACCTAACATTCAAATGCAAATGTTTATTTTAAATTCGACTAATATTCATTCTCATAAGAGAACCAAACACATGCAAATGCATGTTAAATTATTAACATGTTATCCTAAATTCTCAGGGGATTTTCAAGAAAAAATTTTTAGGTCAAAATGATTCATTGATTGTGAACTGCTCTAAAACCGCAAGTCTGTAGAAGCACAAAAGTGCGCGTTTTGACTTCCAACGCGCAGTGCTCACATTTATCTCATTAAATCATCGCCTTTTGAAGCTTAATAAATCACATTAGGCTTGAATAATGTAGGGCTGGGCGATATAGCTACAAATTTTATCAACGATATAATATTTCATATCTTTCGGTATCGATAATTATTGACATTTTTATAACCTTTATAACAATAAGCAATAGAATTATTATTTTTTTAATTTAACCACTATATTTAAATTTAACAATTTATTGAGACAAACAACTAATTTTTTTTTTTTAACAATCAACATGTGTTCGTGTTTGTGTGTGCTGTCTGCGTCACTCATAGTACGTGCCTATATCGTGTGCTATATCGAACATTTTTTATATCGATATCGAAGGTGTACCGTCCATAAATATTGATACCGTTTTATCGCCCAGGCCTAGCATAATGATTCCTGTTTTTCCACCCCCAAATTTAAAGGGATAGTTCACCCAAAAATTACATTTCTGTCATCATTTACTCACCCTCCACTTATTTAATACCTGTATTAGTTTCTTTCTTCTGCTGAGCACAAAAGAAGATATTTTGAAGAATGTTGGTAACCAAACAGTTGCTGGTAGTAGGGCTGCACGATTAATCGAAATTGAATCGCAAAGGCGATAAATCCAGAAGTAATCCAGAAGTAGTCTGCCGAGTAGGCAGAAGCTGCTATTGTCATGCGTATCTTTCAGTGAAGCATGGTTCTGTGATCAGTAGTAAATCTCCATCCGAAGGCCAGAGGGCGCTCTCACGCTGAAACTTCAAATTACGCCTCGCAGAAGAAACCCAGGAAATCCCTAAAGCGGTTGTTGAATAAACAGAAGATTTAACTGCTTTCATTAATTCAGCGTGACTAATACACCCACGACTACGACAATATATGGTTTATCGGAGTTCGTCTTATTATAATTTTATAATAATGCAATGCTAATCGACACAACCTTTATCACTGCTTAGAATACTATGAAATATGTTGCGTGCCTTATTCTGTGCCATATCATCTCACAAAAGGATTTACTTCAAACACTCGACTGACGTTATGAAGTGAATTTGGAGTAAAAACATGTTATTAAATGTGGTATTTTCACGTGCTTTCAGGTGGAGCAGCATTTACTACAGAGCCGTAGTTCACTGACAAGCTACGCAAACAGCTTTCATAATCGCAGAACGATTTCATAATCGCACAATTAAATCTTCTGCGATTATGAATGCGATTTTGCATAGCTTGTCAGTGATCTACGGCTCTGTGGATTAAATGCTGCTCCATCTGAAAGCACGTGCTGGAGATTTACTACTAATCACAGAACCGGCTTTACTGACAAGATGCGCATGACAATCACATTCGATTAATCGTGCAGCACTAGCTGGTAGTCACTGACTTTTACAGTATTTTTTCCCATACTATAGAAGTCAATGGCTACCGTCAACTGTTTGGTTACCAACAGAAGAAACTCATACAGGTTTGGAACAACTTGAGGGTGAGTAAATAACAATTTACATTTTTGGGTGAACTATCCCTTTAAGACCTCTTTAAATGATAATAAAGACTTTTGTTTTACCATATAAGGTATTTTTATGACTTTAAATTTGGATTGAATTTATGAATGAATACTTGGTCTCCCTTCTATGATGCTGAAGTGTTGTAAATTGGATTGTATGGTAGATGTGGTCCAACAGGTATAATATTAAATATATAGCTAAATATTCAGTTATTGAGATAAGCCCTCATAAGATAAGCCCATCGCCATGACAATAAAAACTATGACATGGTAACTATGAAAGAGGATACTGATTTTGTCCATTGCGGCTCCGCTGGGATAGATCAGACAACCATCGCTGCAGTCCCGGGACTCGTGTAAGGGCAGATATCCTAGAGGTCCCCCTGTGGTGTTCCCTCTGAAACCTCAGCTCTTCATGGAGGAGCGAGGCAAGGAGAGATGGAGGAACATCGCTCACAATATCACTGACAAGATGGTGCAAATGACAGATCTTCTTCGAGTAACATGCGACCTCGCACCTAAAAGACAGAAAAGCACATCTGAGGTTTGATTTGGATTATTTTTAGGCATTATAAAACTAAATATCACCATGTACATTGTTTTCCACCGACCCATTTAAAATGGAAACTGGCCATAATCTAAAAAATTTTTTTTTTGCTTTACTGTAATCGTCAGACGCTACTATTTGATTCACATAAAATAATCTTAACTTTTATAATTCATGCCCTTTATGAAGCCCTCGGCCCAGTGCACTGACATAACCTCCTGAACAGAAGACAACTATTACAAAACCACTAGAAAACACAAAGATTAAGAAAATGTATTCTGACCACAACCACCACACACATCAGGACTCTCTCACCTTTGACGGTTTCTTTTTGAAAGAGAAGTTGTCCTGAAGCAAATGTCCTATTGTGGAGAACGCATCCATACAGTGATGCTGGTAAAAATACTGCATCTAAAGGGAAAACAGAGAGAAAACTGCTTTTTTGTACTATATACAGACATCCCACTGACACTAGGGGGTGTGCGATATATATCGTCGTTTCATCGTTCATCGTTTCATCGTTTTAACGATGTGCGATTTGACATTATCGAGTATTTTGCAAAAACCATTCAAAACATCCCTACAGAGCGCACGCATACATTACGTGAAGTCTAGACTAGTGCGTGTGCGCATTTAGTGTGTTTTCTTTCACTGCATGATTCAGTCTATTAAAATGCATTTAGAATGATCACAAATTCAAGACATGATGGCAGAAAATTTATATATTTATACCACTTCATATAGTTATTCAATTTCACACGAAGAGTGCCGTTTTTCTCCAAAAATTACCATGATTACAAATGTGACATTGAATTCAATAAACAATAAGTTAATTAAGAGACTTACGTTTTAGACACCATATTGCTTGTTTTTGCTCTATTTCGCCAACAAAAATCATTCCGAATACAGCCACAGTGCTGTTTTGTGTCTCTGAGCAACATGACGGTGTTTCGTTCTTGAATGAATCAACCGTTTAAATGATTTGGTTCAATCGCAATGACTCACTTATTAACAGTGATTTGCTGCCACCTGCTGGCGGTTTTAATTTCAAATTTCGGCTTTTTCTTTCTTTTCTTTTCTTTTTTTTTCTTTTTTTTCTTTTTTTCATGTTTTAAATCATTTCAAATATCAGTATTCAACGTTTTATGTTTAATATATCAAAACATTATTTATGCATTTGTAATTGCAGGTTAAATGCATTCATGTCTTGCATTAAGCAAAATACATGTGTGTAAATACATCTAAATGCCACTTCAGATGCAGCTTCTGTGTTGATTTAATTTGCTTGGTAACAGCCCAAATGTCTTATTATTCTAATTCCCTGATTAAATGTAAGAATTTGACTCAAAAGATAATGGACACTTTTAGAAAAAATGGCTTTATAAAGGTTAAAATGCCCATAAAATGCAAAAATCTGTTTAAACTTATTGGAAAAGATTAATTTCTATCAGTATGAACTGACCACCACACAGAATATGAAGAATATTAAAAACATTAGGAGTCAGCTGTCTTCGGCAGTCCTTAAGGTACCAGCACAATAACACACTCAGCAAAATATCGTCTAATTATCGTTATCGATAAAATCCCATAAAATATCGAGATATAATTTTTTGTCAATATCACACACCCCTAACTGACACTGTTAGATAAAAGGTCACTTCAAAACAAAAATGAGAAAACCCAAAGGTTTTTTTTTTATGCATCACATTGCTTCATCAACTTACGTGTTCTGGAAAAGCCATTGGATCCAGCAGAACACCAGATGAGACTTTGGTATCTTGGAAAAGTAAGAGAAAATAAAAAAATAAAAAAATAGGGAAAAAAGTATTTTTTTTTTTTCACAAAGAAAATGCTTTTTTTTTTTTTTTTAAGATCAAGTAAGATTCTTTACAATTAAACATTACCGCCGGTGTTATTGTTAACTAAAACTATTAAAACTAATTTTTTTCAATAATTGACATGAAATTATATATAAAATATTAGATGAAAAACAACATTACAAAACAAATTGGAAATTAATTCTAACAAATTAGAGACTGAAATAAACCAAGTTTGGATTGAAGCACTAAAATCCCCAAAACTAAAATAAAAAATAAATTACACAATCTTAAATTACACAAATTAACAACTTAAACTTAACAAAACAAACACTGAAACAAAAATTAAAGCTTAATATGAATTAAACTAAAACAACAAAAGTAAAAATGATGTTTTATTTCAAATTTGAGCCCATCAAATGACTGTAACTCAGAGCATTAAATAATAATGATCTTTACCTTCACATGGTGGAATTAAAGGAGCAACCGCTGGTTTAACCGGCACCCATTCCTCACCACTCACAGTGTGCTGGGATTCAAACACATGCTGGATCGATGACTGTTCAGCATCACACTGTAAATTCACATACAATAAAAACGTAAGTCATGACACAGAGTCACAATTACAGGGTGGTGTATGTGAAATAACACAATATTTGTGGAACAGGCAGAAGAAAATACAAAATATATTTTATATCACTTTTTGTTAAAACCTGTCAATCCCATAAAACCCTTTGAATTGTATACCTTTTTCAGCTTAATCATTTATGTTTTCTGTACTTCATCAAATCATTCTTTAAAGCAACTCAGTAAGTTATAATAATTAAGTAAATCATAACAAAAAACTCAGCAACAACATAAACTCAGTATGCATATTTATATACTGATTCTTAGTAAAACCTTAAATATCTAAACAAGAACTAATACTGATTATTGCAACTCTATTAAAATCATTTTTCTTGGTCAAAGATATTTTGCAGTAAACAAATCTTAATTTAGCATATGCATGCTTCATCATTGCATAACTCTACTGAATGATAAAAAGCTATTTTACAATTATACATTTAGGTGTATGCGAATACAGTTAATGTTTGTGCTAAACGCATTTGCGTTGTATTCCCTGCATTACAACCTCTTTTTATACCGTCTATGATTACAACCCATTATATTTATTATCAGGACGGACTGAAATATGATGCGTCTCGTCTCACCAATCCAGCATTGACAGTGAACACGCGCCCTATGAAGCCCATCCTCCGTAACTGTGCTTCGGCTTTACTTCATGCGGTCCGTCCAGGTAAACATGTGGGAAAAGTTGGTTAGGGAATATGCTGTCCATAGAGCGGGTCGCGCTGAAGTCCCGTCTTTCCTCGGCCCTGAAAATCAGACAAGCCCGGCATGTTCTCGCGTGTCCGGGTGTCCACGTGCGCTCTGATGACTCAGTCCAGTTAGAATGTCGTTCTAAGATCGCAATATGTCGAAAAAGTCGTTATAATAAAGACGAATACTGGAAATGTTAGCACGTGGCTGGCAGGCGACCGCGTCCGCTCCGCCCGCGTCAGCTGATTGATTGTGAGGGAAACCAGACGCTATACGAGACGATTCAAAACGCCCGCCACCGGAAATCCTTTCAAAATAAAAGCGTTTTAAAAATTTCTAAATAAAGCTATGTATATTAATAGCCCAGTTGTAAATGGATAAATAATAAAGTAAGTTAATAAATAAATAATTAAGTAAGTAAATAAATAAAATATGAATAAAGAAACAAATAAATGAGTGAATAAATAAGTAAATAAACAAGTAAATAAAGAAAATATGAATAAAGAAACAAGGAAATAAATAAATATAAAACATTATAATACTAATCAAAACAAAAAAATAAATGAATGAATGAATGAATAATGTTAATAAAGGAAACAAACAAACAAACACATAAATAAATATTATTAAAGAAATAAATAGTAAATAAATAATCAATCGATAAATAATGAATGCATGAATGACACTATATCCCTCCATGCCTTGTTATTTTCTGATAACGTTTCAAATACTGATTGTGAATTTAAGGAAGTTGTGGGCCTATAGGTTATGTGTATTTGGGCGATTTGGGATTATGGACTAATAAATATGTGAGCAGCGCCTCCACCTGTCCATCCTGATTTTCACACGTGTTTATTGGTTCTCATCTTATTTACATATTCTCAACAGCAACAACAAAATGTTTAAGGCTTTTGATACTTTTACTTTAATAAGGTAACCAAATTCACGAACATACAAAACTTCAGCCTAAATTCAAATGAACTTGAACATTTCTTATGGCTTATTTCTTATAGCTCTCTATAGAAAGCTTGATTCTGTACAATAAAAACCAAGAACAGGCCAAATACAGATTTCTCCATATCTAACACTTTTGCATTTGTATATTTTCCAAAGTTTGCCATTGCACTTAATAGATACTAATAGATTAATTCATTCATTCCTGTGCATTAACAATGACAATAGACAAATAAACACTTTCTTTCTTTCCCATTTTCCTCACCTGCCTTCCTCTTCCTCATTCCTGGAATGTTACGCTTATGAAGCCATAGAAGTTGTCAAGACAGTGAGCTGTTCATGTGAAGCGTTTAAGTGAAGGCATCTGCATTTCACCTCAAGCACAGACTGCTTACACAGTTTTGTATTCCACCTAAAAAGACAAGTCATAACAGGACAAGTCATCATAACCACAAAAAAATGAACCAAGGGAGAAAATAATGCATCAAAAAAGTATATTTAAAAAGGGAAAATACCAAACAAGAGAGTGATCTAATCATATGCAACACAGAATTTCTTTACGGCTATCAGTCATTGTATGGCTTTCACCTGGATTAAACTATAGATTAATATGAAAACTAGTTGCATTTCACAATTAAATTAAAGAATAAGTTCACCCAAAAAGGAAACAATGTTGAAAATTGTATCACCCTCAGGCCATCCGAGATGAAGATGAGTTTCTTTCTTTATGGGAACAGATTTGGAGATTTGTAGCATCACATCACTTGCTCATCAATGGATGCTCTGCAGTGAATGGGTGCCGTCAGAATGAGAGTCCAAACAGCTGATAAAAACATCACAATAATCCTCAAGTAATCCACACCACTCCAGTCCATCAATTAACATCTTGTGAAGTGAAAAGCTGCATGTTTGTCATAAAGAAATCCATCATTAAAGCATTTTAACTTTAAACCGCCACTTCTGGCCAAATAATAATAAAGCTTCCTGTTGAAAAAGTCCATCCCCTGTTGTCCCCTCACATCAAAATCCACTGACATTTTTGTTTACCCTTACCAAAAAGTAGTATACTTCAAGTTTATTTTATTAAGTATACTTAAGTAAAATTCAAGTATATTTTTAAGTATACTTTATGTAGTAAGTATACAAATATCAGTGTACTAGTAGTATACTTGTAAGTGTACTATTTCAATACTCCTTGGGACTAAATTGGCCCACTTTCTAGTATATAAAAGTATACTTTTAAGTATACTTTAAGTATAACAGTAGTAAACTTTGAGTACACAACTAGTTTACATCAAAATGTTTAGTTTGTACTGCAACTATACTAAAAGTGAACTTATGGGTATACTGATAGTTTACTAATTAAATACTTGTAGCATTTTTAGTACACTTTGAAGTATAGTCTCAGTAAACTACTAGTTTAGTAGTTTTATACTGCAATTATACTCGTAAGTTTTCTTTAAGTGAACTTTACATCATACTTTAAGTATACTACTATGTCCCTATTTAGGTATTAATTTGTATATATTTTGTTACATGAATATCTGAACATACAAAACATCAAAAGAAAGAACAGGGTATCTGCTTGTAAACAAAAACATTTTATTCTAGCTTCATGCATTCTTTTTTTAAACACTTGAATGTGGATAAGTTTCATAAATAAAAAAAGAGAAATAAACAACATTTTGAACAAAAAGCTGAAAAAAGACTATGAATTGGATTCAGAATGATAATCAAAACGTAGATAAAGTCGATCAACACCCCAAAGCTTGACAGTTATTATTACCTCTTTATTGGTCGACATTTTATTCCATAATGTTACATAGTTTTGATGCTGTTTTATGTCTGATGATCGTGTTAGAATACATGTGGAAGGATCTGTTGTTTCGGTTTCTTCTTCACTTGTGTTTTTTGGAAATTCTGTACAGAAGATGTGTACTAGCGCCCCCTACAGTATAACAATGAAATCACGGATTCTAGGAGCACAATTATAGCTAAAAATATATTTAGACTTTTTCTAAGTATAAGTCAAGTATACTTAAATGTCATTTTAAGTATATTTCTGAGAAGAACATAAAGCCCATTTCTGAGAAGTACAGAAAAAGTAGACTAAAAGTATACTTTCCTATTTTTTAGTTTAAAAGAAGTATACTAATAGCACACTTGAATAAACTTCTTTTTCGTAAGGGTAGAACTGTTTCGGCTTGTAAACACTGCTTGATCTGTGCATATTTCTCTCCGAGACCACTTTTTCACTGGAGAATGCAATATTATGGATAGAGGACTTGATGTTGATTACTGTGATGTTTTTATCAGCTGTTTGGACTCTCATTCTGACGGCACCCATTCACTGCAGAGGATCCATTGGTGAGCAACTGATGTAATGCTAAACTTCTCCAAATCTGTACCGATGAAACTCATCTACATCTCCTGAGGGTGAGTAAAGTTTCAGCTTATTTTCATTTTTGGGTGAACTCTTCCTTTAAGCAGTGTGTGTCTCTGTATGTGCATGTCTGCATGAGAATCAGAGAGAAACAATCTGTTACGACACTGTTAGTCACAGCCCACTGGCACTTTTGTCTTCAGGCCAGAGACAGCGTCTCCAAACTGCAGTCGAATCCATCCTGCATGTTGTATGATGAATCTAATCCAAAGAAAAATAAAGAGAAAACCCAACACACACCACTGGACCTTAGTCACGTAGATTGCATATTCAATATGACCATCTGTCCTGATAAAGCTTCATTAAACCAAAATATAAGACAGCTGCAACTTTTGTTTTATTTGTTTTAATGACCATATTAATGCTGTGCTTTAAAATCACACGAGTTTAAATATAGGCATTATAATACAACATTTGGATTCTCTATACAAATAAGGATAACATATACAGACAAACTTTGCCTTGGTCAACAAGGCTTTATGTAACATTCAAAACACACAGACTCTGAACACAGTCCAGGCAATATATTACATCCTTTTCTTTCAGGGCCATTCAAATGACTCTCCATTTGTATTCAGTATAAAAGGTGCTGCTCCTCTCCAACCGATTCTGGCTGGAACGACCAACTATTAGTTCTCCTCGTGGCACTTCACATATTAAAAACTTTAAATCTAGAACAAAGAGGTTCAGAAACAAGATCGAAACCAAAAAACATTCTAGAGAACTCCTTTTTAGAATAATATAGTCAACATGAAATCACAATTGACTATTTGCTTAATATACTTAATGCATCTAATTAAGTATATAAGTATAAATGAGTAATATTGTGAAATATTAGTACAATTTAAATAATTGTTTTCTGTTTGAATATATTATAAAATAAAGCAATAAGCCCCAAGAAGCCGTGGTTTACAGTGAATTTATAACAGCTAAGGGGCGTTGTTAGGCACGACGAGAAGCGGAGAAAGGTTTCACGAAATAAAACAGAGCAAATAAAGTGTAATGATATTAATAAAAACAGTATTCTTCCACCAAACAATGTAGTTCCTCAGAATCAGTTGTGGTTGCAACAAAGTGGTTGCCAAGCAACAGACAAACGTAAACAAAGGTGTATGTTTGTAGAGTAATTTACAACAGCTTTCGAACGTGGCTCAGCCAATCAGAATCAAGGATCGGAACTATCCGTTTTATAATGTAATTTATTACATTTATTCCAGTGATGCAAAGCTGTATTTTCAGCAGGCTTTACTCCAGTCTTCAGTATATGAAAGCCTGATTCCACAAAAAAATGAAAAAGGTAATTGTGACTTTTTATTTTACAATTCAGATTTTTCTTTTCATTAGAAATTTAAACTCTGCATTTACATCTTGAAATACTGAGTTTACATCTTGCAGTTCTGACTTTTCCTCAGAATTCAGATTTTACATCTCGAAAATTCCGTTTTTTGTTTCCTCCATGAAATAACAAATGAAAAAAGAGAATGAAAAAAAGCGAATTATGAGATATAATCTCTTGCAAGAAAAAAAGTCCAAACTGTGAGATAAAAAGTCACAATTTTTTTTTTATCCCGTGGCGAAAACAGGCTTCCACATCAGTGTTACACGACCCTTCAGAAATCATTCTATGCTGATTTGCTGCTCAAGAAACATTTCTTATAATTATCAATGTTGAAAATGATTGTGTTCCTTCCTATTTTTTCAGGATTCTTTGATGAATAGAAAGTTCAAATGAAATCTTTCATTATAAATGTTATGAATGTCTTTACTGTCAATTTTGATCAATTTGATGCATTCTTGCTGAATAAAAGTATTAAAGTAACAGTATTTTTTTAAAAGCGGTTGTCTAAGTGTCTTTCGGCTATTTCAGACAGGTCACATTAAATATCCAAAGATTAGAGAAGTTAAATGGGTTGCACACCGCACATTTCATGTTGATTTACGCAGAGATGCTAAGCGCACGTCCTTTGCGCGTAAGGAAGTAGCGTTTGGTTCCGACGGTCCTGGACATGAGCACGAACAGATACGGATCCAGAGCGCTATGCAGGCAACACAGACACACGGTCACGCTGAAGTAGATGTAAAAACTCTCCGTAGAGCCGACAGACAGCAGAAGGTAATGCACGAAATGAAGGCAGCTGCTCGGGCTGAAGCACAAAACGAAGATAATGAAGTTAAACGTGCTAGCTCTGATATAAAGAGCCCAGTCTCGGTGCGAACGGTTCAGGTGCCAGATGATAGAGGTGTAACATGCGACTGTCACCACTAGGGGCAGGAAAAAACCTACACAGGTCAAGCCTAAGTTATAATAGACAAGCCACTGGTCTTCAGCAAGAAGAACGTCATGGCATGTGATTATTCCGAGATCTGTGATGCGGTAGCTTTGTTGCACTAGGAATTCCGGCAGAAGGGCGATGATAAATACGATCCAGACGGTTAAACAACCCCATGTGCTGAATGAGCGCTTCGGCAAGCTTTTATAAAGGAAAGGATGAACCACAGCTAGGTAGCGTTTGATGCTAATGCATGCTAGTGTGAAAGCGGAGCAGTAAAGGTTTCCGTAAAAACAGGCGGTCGTGATACGACAAGCGGCTTCGCCGAATATCCAATGGTTTCCGCTGAGATGATAGTGCGTCTTCAGTAACAGGCTGAACAACAGCAGCAAGTCGGACGCTGCCAAGCTACAGTACAAAATAGCCGACGAAATGACCCGCACTTTGGTTCCAAGGGAGACCAAGATGGCGATATTGGCGGGAATGCCGACAATGATGGCTATGATGTAGACCGCTGGGATGAACCTATTGCTCAGAGGACCTTGGAGGTAGTTTGCTGTGTTGTTGCTTCGTAACTTGACTTCAACATCAACGGCGGATGGGAGGACGTGTGTTTGGGGGTCTGTCGTTCGGTTTGGAGGAGGAGGTACGTTGACTGGGATGCCGTGTCCTCGAAAGGTCCTCGGGCTGGCGATGTCAGTGCTGTTGCGTTTGCTCTTCCTGGCCCTCTTTCCTGCAGGTGGACATAGAGGAGAGTTAAAAAATCTAAGTAAACATTTATAGTTGCAAACATAATTTTGATAAGTTCTTTTGACATAATAATGCTGATCATTACATCAGCGTAATATTGCACGTAATTTTAAATGTTTGTGTTATTTTTAGTATTAATCAAATTGTCTTGATGACGTTGAAAGTTGGGCAGTGGGTTTCTAGTTCCCAGCATGCTTTGCATAGGACTGGATAAGGAGAATAAATGTTGAAATTGAGTGTTATTTTATGTGTTTATATATATATATATATATTGTATTTGTATATTATCCATCTCAAAAAATTTTAAATCATATTTAAACTTTGTATAAATATATACACATGTATTCGTATTAACTGATAATATTTAAGTGAAATGCAAAAAAACTGATTAAAATTGTGAAAAATATTTTAATCTTAAATTGTCTTACTCTATGATATCCATATACTTTTAAAAAGACCTTCTGTTGCCTTATACTACTTATAACAAAAAATAAAATTTGTTTTACTGTCAAATGTTTTACTGTAATTGATCACATCTGATTATAGATTATTTCACTGAGAAATACAGTCTTACTCTCAAGAAAAAAAACAATCAAAGACTAATACACTTCCACTTCAATTTAATTCATTTCTACTTCAGTTTAATTATTTGCGCAAAATGCTTCTTTCAGATTTAATGCTGTATGGTGTTGGATTTTCACAGTAAATCTACTCGTTTCTCTTTCATCACCAGTGTTGGGAGTAACGCATTACAAAAGTAATAATATGATGAAAGTAACTCAAAAGTAACTCAAAAGTAGTGTAATGCATTACAATTCAGAGACAGTAATATTGTAATGTAACTAATTACTTTCAAAAGACAGTAACTAGTAATATATAATGTATTACATTTTGGAAGTAACTTGCCCAACACTGTTCATCACACTGATGAACAACAGGAAATTCAAACTGCTATACAGAGCAATGGAACGTTTGAAGTGAAACGAGTTTAAACACATCTAACAAACCTATTCGCTTACCTTTAGCCTGGGTCGCGTTTAGAAGAATTAAAGTTATCAAAACGACAAGCAAAACTTTCCCCATGACTGAGAAACACGTCCAATACGGTCAATTCAAAACAAGCGAAGTCTCCACACGGTTTGTCTGTGTGTGTGGAATCCAGATGAAGGGCGTAAAGACACAAGAGGTGACTGCGAGTCTCTCTCTCTCTCTCTCTCTCTCTCTCTCTCTCTCTCTCGAATAGCGGTATCGTTCCAAACCGATGACATCATCACCCCCTCATTTGAACCCCTTTCAGCCTTTGTCATCATAATTACTTCTATTATTTTGTGTTCTTAATCGTCCAAAACTTTATCCATCTAAAGTCTTAAAGGGTCCGTTCACAGTTTTTATTTATTTATTGCTCACTTGGCGGTGGTCTATCAGTAATTTTTGTTTAGTTTGACGGTTTCAAACAAATATCTTGTTGTTCAGCCAAAGATTTTGCGTGCATGTAAATTTAACCATTGTGAGAAGGAAACGCCTGTAGGTGAGAGATAAAACAAATATAGAGGTCACATTTATTATCTTGTAATCTACAACCATCTGGACGTCTGTTTTCACTTCCCCTCAGTGTATTATCTTCTTATTTGTTGGTTACTGCGGTACAGCCAGCAAGAGTTATCCATGACGCAGTAGGAACAGATCGAATATACATCAAAGGGTGACAAAAACATGAGAGAGAGATGCTTTCCTGTTTCCTACAAAGGACAAACTCATACCTAGATGTGATTTAAGTAATGCAGCAAAACATGCATTCTTGCACACCCACACATATCCGCGCGCGCACACACACACACTTTTGATTTAATTATAGCCCTAACCCGCAGGTCAGAGAGCTCAACTTCTTCTAAACTAGTTTTTACCAGATTTTACACTGAACATCAACTGGCAATCAAACACAATACCAAAACTCTTTATTGTGCAAGAATAAAACAAAAATGATCTAAAAAAGAAACGTATATTATACACATAATACTGCACCAATGCACCAAAAGAGCTTGATTTGACGTCGTCAACAAAGGAGATGGGATGCATTTTCTGCTCTCTTTTAAAGGAATAGTTCACCCAAAAATGTGCTCATTATTGGATCAATGGATCCTCTGCAGTGAATGGGTGCCGTCAGAATGAGAGTTGATAAACAGTTGATAAAAACATCACAATAATTCACAAGTAATCCACATGATTCCAGTTCATAACGTCTTGTGAAGTGAAAAGCTGCATGTTTATAAGAAACAAAGCCATCATAAAAGCATTTTAACTCTAAACCGTCGCCTCTGGCTAAAATATGAGTCTATAATCCATAATAATGCTTCCTCTTGAAGAAGTCCATCCGCTGTTGTCCTCTCACATCAAAATCCACCCCACATATTTGTTTAGAACTGTTTTCACTTGTAAACAATACTTGATTTGTGTATACTTCTCTCCTGATTCAGACGAGATCTTTTTCACTGGAAAAAGCAATATTATGTATAGACGACGTATTGTTTTAGTCAGAAGTAATGGTTTGATGTTAAAAACGATCTTGATGGATTTGTTTCTTACAAACATGCAGCTTTTCTCTTCATAAGATGTTAACTGATGGACTGGAGTGGTGTGGATTACTTGTAGATTATTGTGATGTTTTTATCAGCTGTTTGGACTCTCATTCTGACGGCACCCATTCACTCCAGAGGATCCATTGGAGAGCAAGTGATGTAATGCTAAATTTCTCCAAATCTGATGAAGAAACAAACTCATCTACATCTTGGATTGCCTGAGGGTGAGTACATTTTCAACTATTTTAAATTTTTGAGTGAAATATTCCTTTAAAAGTTGATATGACGATACATTTCGTTATCTTAACTATGCATGATTTTAGGATTGCTTTTTGTCCCCAAACAGTTTGAACTGTTTTTTTTTTCTCTAAAAAGCATGTGCATCAACTATGGATGACTTAATATTTTGTTTTCGAAACTGCTGGGTTTCTATCAAAGTGATTATTATTCAGTAAAGGTGAAAGGTGTCATTGTTTCCTGCATGTGAGGACACATTGAATGACTAACATGCATCTCCTGCTGCGAGCGAGCTGCGTGAAACTCATGCAAACAACTATTAAACATCCACATGCAAACACCTACTAAACATCCTGCTGTTCAGAGTAAACATTCAGATAGAAAGCCTACTGATCTGGTGCGTCAGTTACTCTCTCGAACTGTGAGACTGGAACACAGATGTCTTCTTTACAAACAGAGCACATCAGAAACAGTCAGGCATGGAAAATTAGTGCCTGGGGGTAATTTCTCAAAAATACTCACATTTTTATGGGAAAAGGACATGGTGTTCTGAAGTGACACTAACACATCAGGACTTCTGAATGGTCACAGAGTGTGTTTACACGTGTGAACTGGTATTCAAACGCATATTGCACACACAGCATAAACACACATGGATAGAGATGACGCATTTAACAGGACGGTGCCTAAATTCCTTACAGTATGTGAACATTTCTGAAGTTTGGGATTCTCAAACATAGACTTACTGAGAGGATTCATAGAGATTTCTCTCCTTTAGCCTAGAAACAATTGACATCTTGTCTTAAATCATATTACTAATTTAATTTCTTAATAATATTTAATATTAGGCTATAAGATATAAGTATTATAATGTTTCATTTGATGTAATTCAACTAATACACTATACAACTAATCAACTAATAGACTCAACCCCATGTAATTTCAAATCTGTGTTTCTTTATTTATGCTGTGGAACAAAAAAGGAGATTTGAGAAATGTCTCGGTATTTCTTATTTTTTTCATCCAATAGATGTCAGTGGTAACCAAAAGAGTTTTGGTTACGCTACCAAACATTCTTCAAAATATTTTCTTTTATGTTCTGCAAAAGAAAGAAAGTCATACAAGTTTGAAACGACATGAAGGTGAGTAACTGATGACAGATTTTTTTATTGTGAACTATCCCTTTAAGAAATTTTTATGTGGCAACGGTACAATAGTGCCGCATACATACCATTATAACGTAATTTTGGTCAAACTATATAAATATACAAGTGATTTTTAAGCACATTACTTAATTTCAGTGCTTAAAAAGTGCAACTGGCAGGTGAACACTCAAACTGAGCTCGTTAAAGTGATTTTTCAGAGTTAATGACTGTCTAAACCAGGAGAAAAATCCCAATAAACCGCAGGCGCAGCCCTCATAACTCAAGAGAGCGTAACTCTGGATACAGAAACAGTCAAAACCCAAACAAATCTGAGCTGCAACACTCACCACTGCAGCTATGCTTCTATTGACCATGTGTGATTCATTATTACATTTCTGATATGGCGATTTCTCATGAAAAAGGAGCCATGTGGCGCCATCCCTCAGAAGACTTCAGCGTGTCCAACATTAGGTATTTTTCCAGACACAAAGGAGAGGTAAGCGCTGATATTTTGTCTGCAGCCTACTTAATTTTCTTTCTCTATATATTTAAATAATGTTTATATGTTTAATTATCTATTTTGTATAATTTTTTTAATTTTACATAAATTAAATGAATTAGGTGAATGTTGTTTCAGCAGCGTTATGTTGTCATCTGTGTCTCAGGTGAACTGCTGCGCATTCTCACCTGACTGTCAGATTCTGCTCACGTGCTGTGATGACGGCAGACTGTACCTGTGGAACTCCACCAGTGCAAAACACCTGGCCACATTTAGCGGACACTCAGGTATAATACCCACACTTGTGGTCTTTGCACTTGACCACTTATATGACGTATTTCCTGTATTTGGCCCAAGTGTTCAAGTGAGGATGAAGACCACAAGTGTGTGTTGAACTTTTCATTACCTGATGGGACACACTTGTAGTGTTGTAAAAATGCAAGTGTTTACATAGCTTAATTTTAATTTTAAATACTTTGCATTTTAAAATCAACTTCTAAATGTCTGTTCAGTAGTCCCTATAACATGACATAATTTAGTTTGTAGTGCTTCTAATTAAGTGATAAAAGCAGTTGCAACTGTTGTACAAAATAAATATCACCACTACTCATCTTTGCACCAATAAAACGTAAAAACACAGTTTTTCTACAAAATTATGTCATATCTAATTATTATATTAATATTTAACTTACATTGGAAAGGTTTTCGTGACCTCTCGCGAGATCTCGGCAAAAAGTATCACGATTTATTTCCAGACCATGATGCATGATGGGATACACTAAGCCTCGAATAGTGCTCCGGAGCGGTATTCGAGATGGGTTTAGTGTGCGTTAAGGGCACTGCGCTTTGCCGTTTTTAAGACCTGGGACAGTCTTGTGCACTTACTTCCTGTCACGCGCACGCGCTCTCAAGTGGCCAAGACCGCACGTGTGGGTATTTGGACAAGGCATTTGTGTATTTTTGCGACTCTGGAGTCCACTACCGTTAAGCGAGTGGAATTCACTGTGGTAAATATATCACTGTCGTAATAATTAATGTGGATAGCTGTGCACCTGCATTTGTTGCTGCCGTAAAGCAACCCGCCTTTTTCGCGGAATTTCGTAAACGCTCACCATACTTACATATTCTCAGCAGTGTTGCCAAGTCCGTGGTTTTTCCGTGGAATCGGGCTACTCTAACACTGTTTCCACTGTTGAAGCGACCCCAATAACGTGATATATTTAGCCACAGGAATGCGATTGGGCTAGTTTTGAATAGCAATTGGGTGGGTTTTGTTGTGAAAACCTGGCAACCCTTATTCTCAGAACAGACGATTTCGCTTTAGTAGAAGTCAATCAGGGTTTGAAATTAACTTTTTCACTCACCAGCCAATTTGCACTAAATCTGCGCAGATTTGGCTTACATGAACTTCCTCAAGAAATTAATTAGTAAACATAATTTACGAAAAGTAACCCGCCAAATTGGCTTGTGATTTGACAGCGTTACCCGCCACAGCTGATTTTTACCCGCATTTGGCGGGTTGGCGGGTGTTAATTTCAAACCCTGAAGTCAATGGTAAAAACCTGCTAGCTAACTCTCAAAATATATCAATATATTACTCATACAGTAGTATCATAGTGGAAAAAGGATGCGTAAACATGACATCTGGCCCAGAACATCAGAATTGGAAAGAAAAAAAAAGTAAGAAGATTATCAAATGCACAGTGCAAGAATCTTCTGTTCTGTAGCTGTTAAAGGACATCAGACCTGAATGAAGAAAGTCACAAATTGGGGCTAGGCACCGAAAAAACTTGGAAAATTGGCTGTTTAATGGCACGTTCAACTTACCTCATATAGTGGGGCATGTTGTCACAAAATGGTGTTTCATGAAATGTGGAAAACATAAAAATAAATAAATAAGCCAATCTTGATAAAAGATTTACTGGAGTTAAAAAAAAATTATAATTTTTAGAACTTGCCCTGATGTATAAATATCAAAGTAAGTGTAGGCCTAATTCATAATGGAGGAGTATCGTTTTATTAGCAGGGTTTTATTAGCAGAGCTCAATAACAGGGAAAAGACTAAATCCAGGGCCAAGGGGTCAGTAAGTACAAGCAATCCAGAACACAAACAAACAGATTCGTAGAGCACAGAATCCAGAGAAACTAGTTAAAGATAAAAATTAAAAAAAACTTACAAAAGAGCAAAAATCAATATATTAATACACAAACATTAACGAGTCCATCCAGTGGTGCAATGTGGGTATGGAGTGTATTTAATGTATGTAGGTAAGCATAAAGTTCAACATTTTCTGTTTAATATTTTTGTTTTGAAATAAACACGCAGGTCCTGTGAAATCATGTGTTTTCTCCTCGGATGGTCAGCTGTTTGCGAGCGCGTCTCACGACCGTACCGTCAGAATCTGGAGCCGCTCCGGCACTGAATGCACACACTTACTGACAGGTACTCATACTCCGTTCAATACTGATCTATCACATGATTCACAGCTTCAGCAGCAGCATCTCATCAGCATCATCCTTTGTTCTGTTTTATAATCACCCTTACAATAACCATAGTTTCAGTCAAACTTAACTTCATTGAACATGTTTCTGCTTGTCAGCTCACAGAGGGAGTGTGGAGACGGTGAGCTTCAGTCCGGACGCTCAGTGGCTGGTTTCGGGTGGATGGGACAACAGAGCACTGATCTGGAGAGTTCAGGTGACAAACACACACGTCTCTTTACAGATCAGGAACTAATGTTTGAAACAAACACTTCCCTTTTTAAAAAGACTTCTGCAGAGTCTAACAAAAATAGAGGGACACATATATTTAACCAAATGAAACAAACACTTCACTTTCAAAACCATGTTTCGAGAGGAAAGATATCTACATTTGAACAATTTGAGCCATTTTTATTGTGTGAGAAAAATCTTAAGCGTGATATTGTAAAGAAAATGTTGTTTATAAAATGTAATAATTTTAAATATTTATATAATTTATTATATTTATAATTGGATATGTTAATATATTATACTTTGTCTAATAAATATTATTTTAATTTTTATGTTAATATTATATTATGTGTATATATATATATATATATATTATACATATATATATATATAT